TACTTATCAACAACTTCTAACAGAACGCAAAAGGAGAACGCAAACTAAAGTAGATGCCTTCTTGACAAAAAGCTAGAAATTGGAAATACAAAATAGGCTTTAATTTTAATTGTAGTTAATTGTGTTAATAAGTATATTCGTTTATATTGATTTTACTTTCGTTTAATTAATGATTTATTTTGTTCCTATTAAAAGGAACATAATTATTAACCAATTTTCTGTGCATCTTCCTCTAACCCCATTACTACTCTTACTTCGATGGAACGTATTCTACACGTTAAGCGGGGCTTTACTGTGTAATAAACTATTCAATACAATGAAAATATTATTTAAAAATAAAGATGAAAACGTTATTGCCGGTATAAGAATCTAAGGGATTGTATATAAATACTTGAGGTTTAATTTTGAAAATGACCGCTACAAATATGTCAATAGAAAAAGGAATGAGTTTTCAAAATCTAAACCGTAATTTTATATTTATTTCTTTGATACTTATTAATAGAGATCGCGAAAGTTAAACTAATGGGAAACTTTATTCTTCCGAACACTGGGAAGCTGTAACTCGACAACCGCTTTTTAAACAGCCCTCATTTATCGTTGCCATTTAAATCTTGCATTGTTCTGTGCAATGCCTGTTGAGGTTTTAGTTTTTTTCTCGACATTTCGCATTTCACTAATAATTATAATAATATTCATATGTAACTATTATTTTTGCATATATTCATATTTACAGACAAACAACGTGACACGTAATTTTTATATAGGTATATACTAGAATACCCTGGCCACGCCTTGCTGTGGCTAAGTCATAATTAAATTATATTTAGTAAGCTATTTAATTTATTAAAATTTAATTAGCAAAATTTATTTCCGCATTTTTTGCTGTCTATATAGCTCGATTACCGGGTCAGTTATGATTTAAGTAATTATTTTTTGCGTCTTGGAAAATAGGCCAATTAAATAATTTTGTCCGTGTACAATAGTGCTGAAATTGTCTGGCAGTTTAGGGCATTTCGTATTTTGTTGCAGTTAGTAAATGCTAAAAAATGTCATAAGCATTAAAAAAAATGCCGATCGCTACCAACAGGATCACTCGCTGGGCCAACTTGAAGATCGTCCGAAAATTTCATTGAAATCGGTCTAGCCGTTTTGGAGTTGTAATATATTAAAATACTCCTTTATATTATATTATTAAATTATTTATTATATCATCATTACTGTACTTAGGAAGCATTTCTCTTATGTTCATAATCCATTAAGACATCATAAGTCAAACTCAAGTGTCAGGTGGCGAATCGCGTCAATGGTGATAGCATAAAAACAGTCTCCGTGAAAAAATACATATACATACCAATTTTCATGATGATCGGTCAAATAGTTTCTGAGTCTATCGATTTCATAATATACACATCCTTCTTTGTACAATATATCTTGTATATTTAAAACGCATCAGTAAAAGAATACATTCGGGGCGCTACCACTTATCTTGAATTCTTAAAAACCCGTCATTATTTACTTTTGGATTGCCTCAGTAGCTCGAGATGAAGATTCTTTGTCACGATTTTGTTGAAGCCGTGATTCATGCTCTTCTTCAGTTTCCATATTTCTTCTTGCAGATATTCTGTTACGATTTTTCTCAAGGCGTAACTCACGTTCCTCAGCTGTTGCATTTAGTCTTTTTTCTTTAACTTTCTTTGATTTGGAGGTTTTTTACCCATCACTTTCTTTTCTTTGTGCCATTTTTTATTTATTATAATTATTCTGTGAAGAAACGTGATTGGTGAAGAAAAATACAAATTTCCGTTGTAATAATCAATTTAAAACGCATCAGTAAACGAATACATTCGCGGCGCTACAACATACCATGAATTCTTAAAAATCCTTTATTATTTACTTTAATATACTTCGTTATACTTTAATATACCCCATTGTACTTCAATATGTTTCTTAATGACATATATATCCACAACGCATGTGTCAACACAAATTTAATATATAAAGCAATAGAATATCATCGCATAGTAAATAAAAACTGTATCTGACAGTTCAAAAAGAAATTTGACAGTTCAAAAAGAAAAGGGCTCCGATCGTCACCAAACTTTAATCGTCAGGTCAATCTAAAGATTTCCTGAAAGTTTTATTGAAATCGGTCCAGCCGTTTCGGAGCCTACACGGAACATACACACATACTTTCTTTTATATGTATATATAGATGATTCTTTTTTTATAAATTTTTTTTTATAAATTTGTCTAAAATGATGCCTTCATGTAAAATCTCCGTTGACCTGGACAAGCAATGTCCGAAACAAGGATGAAATTCAATTTTTTTGTCATGCAAGTAGTTGAAAGAAAGAAGTGCGTTCGTAGAAGAACATAAAATAATCGACGATATCATCGAGACAGTGAAATTCGTAGTGCTTAGAATCTTCGAGTGGCGTTGTTTTGGTAAGGATTATAGCAGAGTGGCAGCAGACACAATTTCGATAAGAGTGTTGCAATTAAAGTATCACTTGAAACGGCCCTGTAAAGCATGGAAAAGGGTAGTAGAGAAACTATCACCTGATAAGATATAAATCAAGCAACAGCTGAGAGGGGTCTATGGAGATGGTCAGGTTGCTCTGCGGTTAAGTTTCTATTGTTATCCAAGATGTCCGACGTTTGAATGAAAAATGGTTGCATATTACTATTTTCATTAAATTTACGGAAACGTTGCCCCAAAAATATCGGTTATATGTAAAATTTTAACATTTTAATTATTGTATTATCAGAAAATATAAAAATATTTATGCTTCTTTTTATGTTTGGTAAATTAATATTCACCACAAAAAATGTGCAAATATGTAAATTAGGTCTGATAACGGGATCTAGAAAAACATATTCAACGAAATTGAATACAATTTTTGTAATTTTTTTAAATGAAATTTATCGGCTAATTTTGATAAGATCTATCACACGTTCACCACCATCATCATCAACATTGAACGAATATTAACGATGACTTTATTAATTAATTATAAATTTAATGAATTAAATCAGCACAAATAAAAAAATTTGTATAATAATATATCGAATTTAGGCCTTAAATTAGATTACGATTAATTATTCATATAAGCCAGTGTAATACATATATCTAATAAAAAATATTAAAACTAATTTATTTAAGACGTAAACAGGTCATACTTGGAAATGAACCACAGAATTATATAACAATATGGTAATTTCTTTTATGAAAAGAGTTTTTAAAGTTTACATATTTTCATCGCTAATTGCTGATCAAATCCGACTATATAGTTTCAGATGTTTCCAAAACTTTATATTAAACAAGTAAGGAGTGGCTAAGTTCGGGTGTAACCGAATATTTTATACTCATGCAACTTGCAAAGCTCAAATCCCGGGAAATACGTTCAGGTATTGGCAAAACTTTATATTAAACAAGTAAGGAAGGGGGTAAGCGAGCATTTCATATTTACTTCTTGCAACCTGTTAGGATCAAAGTCAGGAAAACACCTTCAGGTGTTGTCAAAAATTTATATTAAATAATGTTGTGAAAGAATTCAACGTTGATTCTGGACGAAATCGTGAATGGATTACAATCAATTTTTTATTCAGGGGTACTGAAGAATCTGATAGTTGTCAGAATCAGAATTAAAACCGGTTTGACGTTCGAAGGAGGAATTGTATCGGTTTTGGATGTCACTGAAATCAATTTTATCTGTTTTGTTATCAGAAACAAAGCAAAAGGATAATCAGATTTGAAATATAATAAATTAATTTATATTATTGTTACGATTTAATAAATCTTTATTTCTATAGGGGAAAACATAAGAATAAAACACATGTCATAATTATTTAGTTTATGGAAAAAAATCCATATATTTCAAGAAGATTATAAAACATAATAAACGTAATTTAACAACCAATAGGGATAATATGATTTGTAAGTGTCGTTTCGGACATTTTTAATATGTCACGATCTGTAATTTTTTTTATTGTATTCAGTAAGGTCTACAATTTCTTCATGGAAATATATACGCAGGAACAACGTTTAAAAAATATTTAATTTTATTATCAAAATATTTATTCTCCAATTGCAACTTTTCGTGCGCTTTTACAATTTTATGGTCGTTGTTAAATAATTAAATTACCAGCGGGTAGAGTTCTCAATGCTTTATTGGGATTTTAACGATTGTGACCGGTTGGCTTGACACCAAACCAGAGACGAATACAATCAGCACCAAGTTACAATCAGAGAAGAGAGTCGTACACACAAGTCCTCTGACATTTATAGGAGTTCAACGGAATTCAAAATACCGTAACTTTAAGTATGCGTAAACAAAGATAATTATAAAGACAAATGAATGATAAAGGAGAGATGACGAATATAAAGCTTAGATAAGACAGTATTGCCAGATTAGAGTTGACATTATTAGAAAATAATCTTAAACTAATGTAAATAATCCTAAACATCCTGCCCGGTCGAGTCGGTCGACTCGAAATCTTCCTTCTCTATCAATAGACATAGTTTCTGGATGGCTCGTTTCATGTATCCTCTAGCGGTTCTCAACGTGACATTGCGGACCACTCCATCCGCTCCGGGATGTAGTGTTGTCACTCGACCCAGGCACCAGTGAGTGGGAGGCAGGTTCTCTTGTTTGACTAGAACGATATCGTCCACCCTTATATTCCTCGTGCGGCGAAACCATTTGTTGCGTCTCTGCAGAATGGTTAGATACTCCTCACTCCATCGCTTCCAAAATCCTTGTTGAATTTGACGTATCCATTGCCATTGTTTCAGCCGGTTGCTAGGAATATGGTTGATATCTGGTTCAGGGACCGCTAGGAGTGGCGACCCAATCAGGAAATCACCTGGGGTTAATGCAAGTTCTCTTCAGGATCGTCGTAAAGTGGGGTTATAGGACGGGAATTGAGACAGGCCTCTATTCTTACGGCTAGTGTCTGTAGTTGACTATACCACATGACCTGCGTACCCACACATCGTGTCAAATGATGCTTAGGGACTTCACAGCAGCCTCCCAGAGGCCTCCTTGATGTGGCGCACTGGGTGTGATGAAATGCCAACGTGTGCCCGAATCTGCTAACGATCGCTGATTATTCTCACCCTGCCATGCTGCATGATCTTCCTTCAAAAGTCGGTTGGCACCAACAAAGGCTGTACCATTGTCACTATATAAATCCCGGCAGGGACCGCGTCGGCTGACGAAACGAGTAAAAGTATCTAGAAAGGCCTGTGCCGATAGGTCATCAACCACCTCAATGTGCACGGCCTTGGTAACCATGCATACGAATATTGCGAGGTACGTCTTGATGTGCGTTCGAGAGCGTTTCGTTCCGATGCGTAGCGTAAAAGGTCCACAGTAATCGACACCAGATGATATGAACGGCCTTGCTGCTCTGATCCTCTGCCCGGGTAAGGAAGCCATTTGTTGCTTCAGGACTTCCCCTCTCTGACGACGGCATACTGTGCAGTTATGGATGAAACTCTTGACTGCTTGCCTGGCACTCAGAATCCAGAAGCGTTGACGAAGAGTGTTCAGCATGAGTTGCGTGCCTCCATGCAGTGTAATCTCATGCGCCTGATTTAGTAAAAGCTTGACCAACGGCGTTGACTTTGGAAAAATAATCGGGAATCGCTGATCATGCCCTAGTTCGGCCTGTTGGATGCGTCCCCGCACACGGAGGATTTGGTTCTTGTCTAGAAATGGGTTTAAAGGTATTATCCGACTGGAAGATGACAAACCTGAACGAGACGTCAATTGTTGAATTTCATTTGCAAAATGTTCCTCTTGCTCTAAACGGATTATAGTGTATAATGCGTCTTCCAACTCCTGAGCAACGATCACCGGTTGACGATAGTGTCGACGCCTTCTTAACCAGCGCAGTATAATGGCCAATGTACCCAACAATCGAGTGATGCTACTGAACCGTTCAGTTAACAAAATAGCGTGTCCGTTTGGACGACGAGTATACACCGGATGTGAAATGAGTACAATAAATTTGGTTGTATTTCGGTTTTCGGCGAGTAAGACATTTGACTCATCCTTGCTGAGGGGAACATCACTACTGTCCCCATACATCATCTCTGCCTCCTTAGGTCCATGCCACCAAAGGGGATGTACTAATAGCTCGGCGGGTGTGATACCTCTACTGGCACAATCAGCTGGGTTATGAGCCGAACGAATGTGATGCCATCGGGCGGGGGATGTCAGCTCCTGTATTCTACGAACCCGATTTGATATAAATTGTTTAAGTGTTGCTGGATCCTTCCTGAGCCAACACAATACGATTGCTGAGTCCGACCACAGATGGTAGGGAACGTCAACTAATCCCAAAGAATCTCGCACGTTCTGGAATGTCTCGGCAAGAAGCAGCGCTGCCGCAAGTTTCAGGCGTGGAATGGTAGCGATTTTAAGGGGTGCCACTTTGGTACGTGCCGTTAGAAGTGTGAAACGCATCGCACCGTTCGTGTTCGATGTCTTCGCGTAAATAACTGCTGCATAAGCATGTGAGCTGGCATCGCAAAACCCATGAAATGATGTCTGAACGCGTGGAATCATTCCCATCCACCGTTCGATACGAATTTGATTGAGCTCCGGAAGCTGTGACCGATACTTCAGCCATTCGCGGCAAAGATCATCAGGTAATGGTGAGTCCCAGGATAGACCCGCAGACCATAGTCGCTGAATGAATATTTTCCCTGTTACGATAACAGGCGATAAGAATCCAGTAGGATCGAAGAGTCGTGCCACCTCGCTGAGTACACGGCGCTTCGTTGGAATTTCTACTCTTTGACATAAATCGACGCGAAAGAATAACTGATCCTCCAGTGCGTCCCATCTTAAGCCCAAAACGGAAGCCTCACCAGCATGGAAGACATAATTAGAAAGTGACGGCTCATTAGATAAACGAATCATTACTATCGTTCGAGTTCCATTTTCTTAGAGTGAACTGTCCCGCAGATAAGATGGCGTCCACGTTCTTAGCCAGCTCCACTGCTTCGGTAACGCTTTCACAACTCGTTAAGAAGTCGTCAACATAAAACGAAGTTAATATCGCAGCTCGAGCCCGCGTCCCTTGTTGCCTTTCGGGAACCACAGCTGAATTATCATAAGCACATTGTTGTAGGGCTCGTACTGCATTGTAAGGACTGCATGCCATGCCATATGTGATGGTCTTCAGGCGATACACCTGGATCTCGTCTGCAGGAGTCTCTCGCCATATAATTCGTTGATAGTCGCGATGTTCAGATGCAACCAATACTTGCCTGAACATCTCCTCTATGTCCGCAGTTATCGCCACTCGATAGCGCCGAAAACGTAAAAGTATACTACTCAGCGAATCCTGTAGGGTCGGCTATGCTTACGTCCACAATTTCGACAGCTACTAGATGGACACTGTCGATAAGAATGACCTGTACGTAAACAGTTGTAACAGATCTGCATTTTCTTAAGGGCTTCAAATCGCTGCTCGATACTAAGAGCTAATAATGTAGGACACCTGGCGATTCGATGCGCTAACCCGCAATGAGCACACAGAGCTGCCTCCGTGGTAGCCACATGGGCCCTCACTGGTCGTTGCTGACGGGAAACCATTAATGAGACCGGTGGTTCAGTAACAAGGCTATGAGCACGTCTCTCTAGAAATTTCAATAGGTCTTCTAACTGTGGAATTTCTGTAGTGGAGCACCTCATACACCAATCTCTCTTAGTTACCGACGGAAGCTTTGCCACCACTATTGGTACAGCTAACGCATCCCACTGAGATATGGGGATATCCATCACACGCAATGCACGCAGCGACTCATGCACCGTGTCCACAATAGCCAATAACGATTGTGATGACTCATGGGTAGCTGTTTTAAGGTTAAGAAAACGGGATACGTGTATTTCCGCTAGCTTCTTTTTGTTGTCATAGCGGTCCTTTAGAGCTTTCCACACCTCTTGATAGCCACCCGAGTATATTCCCCCAATTAACGGAACAGTAGCCGCATTGACTGCCTGACGAAGTTTTCCCAATTTGAACGCTTCTGGGTATGCCGAATTATGTACCAGTGTTTCAAAGGCATCTTTGAACGCTAACCATTTACACATGTCTCCATCAAATAACGGGATAGCTAACGGGTCCAATTTGAGATCCACCAAATGGCCATCCAGAGATGTTGTGGGACAATTGTGCGCTTCGTCAGCGACATTAGATTCAACCCTTGACGATGCGATGAGACGATTCAGTCTACTGCATGCCGCCGTATACAGCTCCTCTACTGATTCCAAAAGTGCATCATGTGACCCAATCTCGGAGGACGTAGCTCCTCCTACCAGACGATTATGGTTCTCCATGAAGCGCTCAAAGTGTGATTCAAGCGACTTGAGCTCTTGTTGAAAATGAAACACATCATGACCTTCCATGACACCTTCCGAGACACGTGCATGTATGCGCTTTATTGCTTTAACCGCCGATGAACGCCAATTGAGCTCCGCCATGAAACCAGACCACCGCAATTACAAAATGAAATTAAAATATTTGTCCTCACAGGAGGCACCAAAATGTTAAATAATTAAATTACCAGCGGGTAGAGTTCTCAATGCTTTATTGGGATTTTAACGATTGTGACCGGTTGGCTTGACACCAAACCAGAGGCGAATACAATCAGCACCAAGTTACAATCAGAGAAGAGAGTCGTACACACAAGTCCTCTGACATTTATAGGAGTTCAACGGAATTCAAAATACCGTAACTTTAAGTATGCGTAAACAAAGATAATTATAAAGACAAATGAATGATAAAGGAGAGATGACGAATATAAAGCTTAGATAAGACAGTATTGCCAGATTAGAGTTGACATTATTAGAAAATAATCTTAAACTAATGTAAATAATCCTAAACAGTCGTTATGGTAATGGTGAGTGGTGCGGGAAATAAGCAAAACTCTTCTGGTGAATCCACAAATTATTCATAAACAGCCTAAATTGACAGTTTGGTGTAGTTTTTGGTCTGGTGGAATCATCGGTCTGAACTTTTTTCGAAAAGAAGCTGGTGAAATTATTACTGTCAATGGAGAGCGGTATAGATCGATTATAACCAACTTTTTATGGCCGCAATCGGAAAAAGTTGATTTTCACAACATCTGGTTCCAACAACCATCATTTAACACCATTATACTACTTCTTGTGGGGTTATTTAAAGTCATTGAATAAACTAGACTCTTCTCAAGCTTTAGAAGTCAATATTGAGCGTCTTTTTCATGTCATGCAAATTGATTTTGTATAAAAAGTACTCGAAACCAAAGGAAGTCGTGGAGGCCATTAAATAAAAAAACATTTGTTTACCTTACCAATTAGTGTGTTTTATTATATCTTATATTTATCTTACTTATTGACCTATATATACTTGTAGTTTAATGTCGGCATTAAAATATGTGAATTCAGTCTGAGGATTACCCCAACTTCCATGTACTACAATTAATGATTTTCGTTGGGAGTTACTATGGATCCTAAGCTTAATTTTATTCTTCATAATGTTACAATGGTCTTTAAAGCAAAAGGTGTTGTCCAATTTGTGACATGTTTTCTCGAAAATTATATAATTTTAATGATGGCTGCATATGAATGGAATCGGTTTAAACCTTGTTCTCAACCTTACACTCTAATATTATGAATTAAGATTTTTTGGTTGACGTTTTCCACTTCAACTCAATAAAATTAAGTGAGTCTATTACCTATGATAATATGGTAACTTAATAAAATACCAAATTTAATTGTAGTCCATTCACGATTTCCTCAAATAATGAGTGTTGAATTCTTTCGCAACGGCCTAACGGTTTTTTGTATCACCTATAACTATTGGAGGTAGATATAGAGTTATGTATCCATAAATAATTAGAATGACGAGACAAGTAAAAACCACGAAATCTTGATGAAACTTGGCACCATAAGAAGTTTGTGTTTGATACATTAGGGAGCACATCCCACTTTAGCAGCACTATCACTTGTATAATTATAAGTAATTAAAATGCGCAATTTATATTACTATCCGAGTTTTATTATTAAATATTGCACAGTAAAATTCCTTAAATTTAAGTTTATATATTATTGGATCGGGATTGTCCACACTAAATGTGTAGATCCAAAAACAGTTGACGAATCGATTGGGTGTTGCGCACAGGAACGCTTTCGTATCGAGAAGTTAATCTGGCGCTCAAGCCCGCTTAAGATGCGTGGAGAGGTGTCGAGTCGAAATGATTGCGCTGTCCAATTTTATATGTATAGCGAATGAGGATTTAGCGATGTTTTACCCGAGTAGAGTGGTGTGTATATGTAGGGGTAGCTTATCTCATTTAAACATCCTGGGCAACCTAGGCAAATTTTTAGCCTAGTAATACACGCATATGCTTATATTGCATGTATTTCGGAGTGCTGCTGGTGGAGTAGCCGAGAGCACGGCAAAAGATATGTAACTTTATTTTGTGGGTTTTGAGGTTGTATTTGCTTTTCATACTTATTGTATTTGCGGTTGTTTCTTTTATACTTTTATTATTTGTATTGTTTGTTTAAAATTTCCTTACCATCGGTTACGGTAAGCGACTTCACGCCTGGCTCAGATATGGCTAGAATGGGTGCTTCTTTGAAACCTTTGAAGAGGGATCTTGCGAGAGTGAGATTTGTGATTTTCGCTCACTTTTTTGTAGTGAGATTTGCAACTTTCACAAGTGGTTCCCATAACCTACCCATATGATGAGCGCTTAGATAGTTGCGATAATAGCGACTTTTGCTTATTGTAAGTCTGGGTGCGTCACTGTATCACATTGGAAGTATGGTGATCCCTTAACTTTAATTTTGAATTGTATTTGATTATGAAAATTTATGAAAATTTATTTATATATGAGGCACTATAGTAAGAGAGGTGTCGATTTTTGGACTTTCTAGGACAATTACTCGTATGTTGAGGACGATATTATGTATTGAAGTGGGCGATTGTGGCCAAGAATCGATAGATTCGGATATCGTTAAGATGGTTTAAGGATTGTGACCATTTTTCTAAGTGAAGAAGAATTTGGATTTTCGCTTGTATCATAATTGGCGAAAGCCATCCTGCGGCTCAGTGAGATATGAAAACTGGCCAGATATCGCATTCCATTGGATCCCCTGTACTTTTGTTGTACTACCATTTTCGAGTTTAAGGAAATTAGAATAGAACAAATTTTATTTTGGAATATTTAGTAATATATTTGGATGATTTGATTGAATTATATATATTTGTGTTTTTAACACTGGGGTTGTCAGAAGAAGCTCCAATTTGTGGAGTGTTGGAAAGTTGTGGCTTTAGTGGTATTCGTACGACGTACCGGCCATTATTTTATCGAGTAGTTGTGGCTTTGTGGAAGTCTTCACAATACTGATCTTTTGGGGTTGTAATTGATATGATGGGGAGTTCTTCTAACTCCCAAAACTTTCTCAATTGTGTATTGGGGTATTCGTTTGCGATTTCCTCAACTTGAGTTGTCATGGTGGTAACTGGTTCCGTAACTAGTTCACTTAGGATCCCTCCAAAAATAGTATTTTGTACCAGAAGTGTGTTTGAAATCTTTTCAATACCTTCGAGTATTATCTGTGGTATGAGATCGCTGCCTAATAAAAGATCTATTTGAGCGGGAGTGTTGCAGTTGGGATCTGCTAGCTTTAGTTGTGAAACCTTTTGCCAATGCTTGCTATTTATGTGATACCTTGGAAGCATATTTGTTAGTTGAGGTAAGACAATAGGTAAGACAATAGCTTCTGCTTGAATGCGCTTGTCCGCTTTGGGGGAAGTAAGGGTAATGGGGCAGATTTTGTTTGAGCTTTGGACTACTCTTCCGCCCATTCCCATGATTTCAAAATTGGCTGATTTTGTTGGCAGTTGTAGCCTGTTTTGTACCCTAGACGCTATAAATGATTGTTGTGATCCTTGGTATATTAAGGCCCTAAGCTTAAACAGTTTTCCTCGGTGTTCTTGGCAATTTTCGGTATTGTGGTTTTCGGGATTTGCAGTTGAAACTAAACCCATGGTTCTTTTTGTACTAATATATGCGCTCTTTTGGGGTGAGCTGGGAAATGTGCTATAGTGAAGCATAGTGTGATGTCTTTTTCGACAGTAGATGCAATTGAATTTGCTTTTGCCATTTTTATGAGCATGTGATAAGCAATTTGTACATAATCTTTTTGATCTTATAAAATTGTTTCTTTCGTGAATTTTTAATTTTTGAAATATCTTCACACTTCCCATAAAAGTAACGATCTTTCTGGTAATGCGGCGGTGCATATATTTTCCAGTATAGGGTCCCAGCTGTTTGGGAATATTTTGTGTCGATAAAACCGACAAACAATTAGAAACAGTGGATTGTAGTCTAATTAATTCTTCACTTGTTTCTTTTTGAATTTTAGGCAAGTTTATTAGTGTCGTTACTTGTTTATCGACCAATATTCTTTCATTTTCATATCTGGATTTTAGAGCTTCCCAAGCCAAATTGAAATTTTCGTCATTAAGTGCGAACTGTTTGACTATTACGCCTACTTGACCTTCTGTTTTGTATCGGAGGTGATACAATTTTTGTGATTGTGATAATTTTGAATGGTTGATGTATACGGCTGTAAACATGTCCCGTAAGGACGGCTATTCTTCATAACCTCTATAAAATGTTTCTGTGACACATGCGGGCACCTCGAGTTGGATGCCTGAACTTACCTCTTGATTTTGTACTTGTGGCACCTCTACTCTCGGATGTGGAGTAGGTGTAATAGCTTTTATTAGCTTTAACTGATCGCAGATCATAGCTTTTGTGGCTTCATACTGATCTAAACAGTTTTTGTATTTGGCCTAAGCCAATGATTTAAAATTTAGTGGTAGATCTGAATCCTCAGATTCTACTATGGCGTCATGAGCCGCTTGGAGACGAGTTCAAAATTTGTTAAGATTTTGCTTTTGTATTTCTATTAGCGATTCATCGATGAAGAAGAAAATCGAGTGCAGTATCGTTTTAATCTGTCACTCTCGGAAATGAATTTGGCCACCTGTTTGAGCGTGTAGCTCCTGCAGGCGTAGTTTGATTTTTGTCGTCATTACCCGTTTTTGTTATGATATTTATTACTATATGTGTCAAAGTTAATTAAAATTTTCTCAGTGTAAACTGATTTAAGCGCAGCGATAAATGATAATTAATACCGAATACTCTTTTACGTATATAAGAGTTTTTCGGATTAGATAAATCTTTACTTGCGAAATAATTATTTAATTTTTATTTCATTTTAAATACATTGTTGTGAGTGTACTTTTAACTTTCTTAATTTAATTATTAAGAATCGCACTTTTAATTTAACAATACTTTTTATGTCCTTATGTTGATGTACATATTTAGGTACACCTTAATACACGGACTTGTATGTATATATTGATGTGCTCGTGAAATTGAGAGCTCGTTGAAGAGATCAATACCAGAAAACGTAAATGAATAGAGAAGGAGCAAATGTTAAATGAAATCTTTTTGAGTACTAATTTGTAATTCCAGATGAGGGAACATCGAAAAATATAACTTCGAAAAAGAAAAATACACCACACAATATGCGAAAAGGATAACAATAAAACGGTGGCTAAGCGGCCGCGTTTCCACTTTTGGGGTGGCTGAGGTCGTAAGCGGGAAGGGGTTAAGCATAATCCGAATACGAACCTATACGTTCGAATCCTAAAACTCATGAAACTGAAATTTTATTTAATTTTTTATTTTATTAATTGGAATCTAAGCATGTTCATATGTTTAGGTTTATTGAATATTTCCTTATTATGCCGTATTTACACAAATGTGATAATCACACATACATTCTTAAATACAAGTACGCTGATGCTTGCTTCTTCTTGCCCCGCACAAGCATTGACTTTTGCCACACTTTTTGCTTTTTGCGAGTTGAACGATCGCAGGCAAGGAGGGATTGGGGCGCACCGCCACATAATTATTTCAGATATATATTTTATTTATCGAATTAAGTTTAAAAACGATTATAGGTGCGCCCTAATCCCTCCTTGCCCGCGATCGTTCATATATTATGGTATTCTCCCTTTGGATATAGTATGTTTGTCAATTTGTAATAAGTTAGCAATATTTTATGTTTATTATGCACTTTGTTAATGTTTTTGATGTGTATACATATATGTATATGTTTATATGTATAGTGAAAATATTTATAGAGAAATACTAATATTTGCATATATGTATTTTTTTCCTCTTTTTGTATTTTATATTAGAATTTTGATTTATACTTGTGCCTTTGCTTACTTACTTTATGCAATGCTGCTTATTGTTGTTTTCCAAACATAAGGAGCATTGCTGGGAAATATTAGAAAGTAAATGTTGTTTTTTTTTTTTGTAAAATTGGTGTGTTTAAAAACACAAGCGTATGCTTATTGTGGCATTAGATAAGTATATACTTGAATATATATTGTATAATTAAACCAGTTGGGTTAAATGGATTTGTTATTACTAGTTTTATATATAATTATGTAAAATTGTAACTTTGGACATATCTTACATATGTGCATAATATACAATACAATAAATGGCATCGATACAACTCACTTTATCGTACCTCAAATGGTTTTTTTTGTTTTTGAGGGTGATACATGTATGTTTGTGTATGAAGTTATAACACCAATTCCTGTTTTCCTCTTCTTCTGAAGTCTTCCAGCAGTATTGTTGTTTAAACAATTTGAGTTTCTGTGTTGAAATCTGCGCCCGTTAATTTGTTTTTATTTATGTTTTGTCTTTGGGTTTCGCTCCCGGTTTTTGTTTTAGTTGGTTAAAATGTTTGTATTTTTGTTTTTGGCACGCACTTTATGTATGCTTGTTTTTGTTTGTTATTTTCTCTCCACACTTTTACTTTGTATATACAATATATATTGTAACGGATTTATCGATAAATCGTCTACCTGTAACTCACTCTTGAGTTCGATCACTGGATTGTTAAATAAAAGTCCCAATTTAATGGCTACACACTTATATTTATTTCTAATTCCAACAACTTAACACTTATTGCTTATTATTCGAGCTTACAACTTCTTGCTTATAACTTAATTGCTCTTATCACGACAACACTCTAACTAGAACTGTGTTTGCTGCACAATCCGGCAGCCCTTATATAGTAAATCTGTAACAAAACATTGCTTCTAGAACATTCTGGCAACTACGAATTCGCTAACTAGTTGCTTCTGGCAGTTTATCGTTCATTCGATTTTGTTCTATCATCTATGTTCGTCACACTGCCCTCCACCTAAGTCTGATCGACCCGATTAGACATATTTGCGATACCAAACACAAAGCTTTTATGTCCCCATCTCGTCTTCTAGGCTGGTGCTGACATCGTTAGCCGTCCTTCTCTTCTTGAAGTTAATTCCATCCGTTTTCCGGATACTCAGTTTCTGGTACACCCCTTGACTTAAAGCTGACTCGAGATTCCATTCTTGATCAGAACGTAACTCCATTGGAACACCGAATCTCGTTACCCACTTGTTGATGAATGCCTCCGCCACTGGTTCAGTCTCTTGGTTAGGAATTGTGTATACTTGTGGCCATTCATTGAAATGGTCCTTGACTACCAAAACATGACTATTTCCTAATTTATTGGTGGGGAATGGACCATCTTCATACACGCCTATTTTCTCAACTGGCGCACGCGAATTGTGCTGTTTCATCTGCCCATGACTCCTGGACCTTGATCCTTTAGCTACAATGTTCTCAGCATATTTCGCAATCCTTTCTATAGCTGATTGACTACCAGTCCAATAAAGCCTTTGCTTCAAATGCTCCAAGGATTTCATATCTCTCAAGTGCCCTCCTCTTAGACATTTGTACTGCACGTTAAGAATATCAGGAATTCCAACCCTTGGAACAACCATAAGTACTCGGAAGGTTTGCCCATTTTCGCTTTTCCATACTCGATGCAAGCAGCCATACACTAACTTTAAACTACTCCGTTCTGCCCAATATGATTTTGTGACTGGCCTTCCTGTAGTTATTTCTCCAATCGTTGTACATTGGTTCAACTCCACCTTATGTAATGCACCTTTCAATTCTGGATCTTCTTGCACAGAGTCATCCGTTTTAGGTTCAATTTTATGCTGATCTTCCACCTGTGATGGTATACACGCTTCCTGCTCTTCCACCTGTAAGGACACTTGTGCTGGTATCCAAGCTGTTTGCTCTTCTAACTGTGAGGAACCTTTTGTTGGTTCACACGCTTCCTCCTCTTCCAACTGTGGGAACACCTGCCCTGACATACGCAGTTCCAGCTCTTTCGACTGTGAGGACCCTTGTACTGGTACACACGCTTCCTCCTCTTCCGACTGTGAGGACACCTGCACTGGCATACGCCCGTTCAGTTCTTCACATGCTTCCTCCTCTTCCAACTGTGAGGACACCTGCGCTGACATATGCACGTCGAGCTCTTTCGGTGCTGAAAAACGTGCATGTTGCGCTGCGAATAGCTCTTCCAAATGCGTTGACCATCGCGTTTCTAACTGCGTTGACATCTGAGACATACGTGTATCCTGCTCTTTAAATTGTGTCGACATTTGCGTCCCCATCTGCGATATTGCAGAAAAAAGCATGTTCATGTCCACCATCTTTGACGAGCATTGAGCCTCTTCCTTTTCTTCTATCTTTGTTGTCTCTTCTTCTAATTCCATGTGAAAGACATATTCCTCAACATTAATGTTTTCCGCCTCCATGGCCTCTCTCAACCGTGATTGTAATTCAGTTTTTAATCCATTTGTCGCCAAACCACGTTGCTCCAGCTCCTTTTTCAGTCGTGGAATCTTCAGATCGTTAAACTTGGCCACTTTCAAATAATTATCTCCTTGGGAATTTATTTGACAATCCCACTTCTGACACCAATTGTAACGGAGTTCTCGATAAATCGTCTACCTGTAACTCACTCTTGAGTTCGATCACTGGATTGTTAAATAAAAGTCCCAATTTAATGGCTACACACTTATCTTTATTTCTAACTTAATTCGAGCTTACAACTTCTCATTCGAGCTTACAACTTCTTGCTTATAACTTAATTGCTCTTATCACGACAACACTCTAACTAGAACTGTGTTTGCTGCACAATCCGGCAGCCCTTATATAGTAAATATGTAACAAAACATTGCTTCTAGAACATTCTGGCAACTACGAATTCGCTAACTAGTTGCTTCTGGCAGTTTATCGTTCATTCGATTTTGTTCTATCATCTATGTTCGTCACAATATGTATATTTTATATACCAATATATTGTATGTTAATGCACTATGTGTTTGTCACCATTTTTTGTTTCACTGCACTCTTTTCGTTCGTTTTTTTTGTTATATATTCTGTCAGTATGCATGCATGTTGTTTCTTCTTTTTTTTTGTTTTTTTGTGTGGTCACTGAACTTTGTGTTAAGTATGGGTATACATAATTATATATTTTATTTGCACTATGTATATTTGATCACCACACCGCACTGTTTGTATAAGTGTTTTTTTATATGATTTATATTTATTTTCCGAGGTGCCTTTCTTTAACGCTCGAAGGACCATGAACAAATTTGTGTTTAATACATTAGAGAGCACCCCACTTTAGCAGCACTATCACTTGTATAGTTATAAGTAATTAAAATGCGCAATTTAGATTACTATCCGAATTTTATTATTAAATATTGCACAATAAAATTCCTTAAATTTAAGTTTATATATTATCGGGGTTGTCCTAAAATAAATGTGTAGATCCAAAAACAGTTGACGAATCGATTGGGTGTTGCGCGCAGAATCACTTTCGTATCGAGAAGTTAATCTGGCGCTCAGGTCCTTAAACAAAACGAATGTTTAAGATGCGTGGAGAGGTGTCGAGTCGAAATGACTGCGCTGTGCGATTGTATATAGCGAATGAGGATTTAGCGTCACCGTCCTTTTTCTAGGTGGCTTTGTGCATGTTGTACTCAGAGATTGAGTGTGGGGGTGTCATCATGTGTAGTGTTCTCAATGTTGAGTGCAGTGTGGTGTCTTTCATTAGGGTGTGTCAGTTTTACCCGAGTAGAGTGGTGTGTATATGTAGGGGTGGCTTATCTCATTTAAACAGTATTGTAGATGGTCGTAAGCGGACCACTGCCCCGCCCACAAAAAGCCATTGATCGAAATAAATGCCATTATTAAACCAAATCTAAAATTAAGATACAAAACTGTAATTTGGTAAAACGGGTTGACTTAAGAGGAGTCACTTGTGGTTTGAAAAGCGTTAAAAAGTGAGAGTGGCCTTGCCCCTTAATAGGCTTATTGTATAGATCTCTCAAACCATTTAAGCTATAATTATTATAATATTAAATAGAAATTATATGATATAATAACCCTACTCACTCCTTATATAACGGATTTATTAAAAACTTCTAAAAGCGCGATAAATCAATAATTAATGCGCCAGAGACATTAAATTTTACATCCGGCATGATACAGAAAGGCTTTATAGGAGACGGTGTCAAAATTGGACGATGGGCGTGGCACCGCCAAGCTTTAGTAGAAATCACATATCTTTGGACCTGTTAAACCAATTTCAACCAAATTCGATAGGTCACATTATCTTAACGTTCCTATGACACATTGCGTGGCGTGGGTGAAATCAATGGAAAGAGTTGCAAACTTTCGGCTCACTTAATGCCGCATGGCAAAAACATACTGACACTTAAAACGCAATAACTTCACTTCCAATAGATGAAATGTCATGAAATTTTTGCTTGAAGTCGATAAAGGATAGCAAATTCTAACGCACTAGTCGACATATAGATGGCGCCACTAGAGTTTACTTTGTTACTTTTTCACTGTTTACTTTGGAACTCACCTTGTATATGAATAAATTGTCAGAATAACGAGACGAGCTGAATTCGGTATCAAATACTGCACCATATTTGATAAAAACAACTCCAACCCAGAAAAAACCACCAACAAAACGTGAATTTGTAAGCCAGACCATACGTGAAATGAGTAAAATCGTATTGGAACCAAAAACGAGACCATATAGTTCTCCTGTAATACTTGTGAAGTAGAAAGATGTCAACATGAGGTTCTGTGTGGTTTATAGAGGTTTGAATAATGTAACGAAGAAAAGCAGTTATCCAGTACCGAATCGATGACGCTCTTTTCTCGTTATCAGACACAAAATTGTGCTCTTGATTTGAAAAGTCTTTACAAAAAATAATGTTATCAGCGTTGAATATAGTCTATGGCCACCTTTGAGAGACTTATGGACCAAGTATTAAAAGGATTGCACTGAAAGGCCTTTTTGGTGTACCTCGGTGATATCATCGTGTTGTATAAAAACTTCTATGAACATCTTAAGAACCCTGGTTGGTCATTTACACAGCGCTTGAATATATTACAAATATTTGCTATCCATAACTTTTTAATTTTTAATTACTAAGTTTTTATTATCTTATCGGGATCAGCGTCCGCTAAATTTTTGTATTAATGATTGTATTTTCCCATTTTCTCCCAAAAAAAACATTTCTTAGTATTACAATATTTAAATACTGGAAATTTTCACGGTAAAACATCAAACTTCGATTTGATTTGGTCTAAAAGCTCAATGTAAAATTCACATATGCCAGTAGTTCGTTGGCCGCGAAAAATACGTATTACAGTAAAGGCTTAGACACGTTAAGGTGGAAATCAGCTTAGGAGGCCAAAATTCGAGCGTTTTTTTTTTAACTGAGAAAGAGTACTTAAAGTTCGTTACACACTTTTAAATTTTTCGATGCCATTTCCGCCGGAAGTGGTGGAGTTAGAGGGTGGTGTCCATTGACAATCGGCATCAGAGTTGACTGCTGGCGGGACACTTAGAGATCACAGTTTTGATCTGAAATTATTGATTTTTTTCTTTCGTTAATAAAATATTTTCTACGAATAGGAACCAAACTCTGGCCAAAA